GGATTTAAAAGGATGTGGAGCCACCTTAGGAAATGAGATTTGATGGGCTGAGGGAGTTAACTTGGAGTCTGTGTTGGGTTCTTGATGTCAGTGGGTTATTTATTGTTGTTTTTGAAGAAAATACTTAGGGAACGTGTAGATGTTTTTGGTTTTTTGTCTTTTTTTTTTTAATAGTTGGCAATTTATTGTGATATTTCTTTGTCATTATCCATTCCTAAATGTCCACTTCTTCAACAGTTCATTCTGCTTTCAATCCAAGTGGCAAAACTAAGCCACTTACTGGTGTCTTCAGCGCCAACAGAGCAGACTTGTCATGTTGATATTCTTGACCTGTGTGAGATAGGTAGTTAAGAATAGAACATGTTGCAATGTTTAGATGTAAAGAAAATGAGAACTGAGGGGTTTTTCAATGACTCGCTCTCAGGGAAAGCCATTGCTTTTGAAGTAAATCCACTGATGCTTCTTTTGCTTGAAGCGCTTTGCTTTGGATCGTTTTCTGGACTGCTCAAGCACTGAAACATGCTTCCCAGTGTAGAAACTACACTGTTGGTAACTTCATTTAAGTCTGAGGAGGGGGTAGATTTTACACTTCTTACTTTCTTCTTGACTAAACAGCTAATATGTTAAGATACACTTTTTTTTTTTCAGCACGGATCTATACTCTTCATAATTTACTTGAGCAGTACTTAAATATGTTGCAAGCAGCCAGCTATTTAAATACGTGTAGTAAATAAATAAAGCATTCAGGCAAAATCTTCAACTTCAAGTATTTTCAAGGAAAATTAGCTGGTTTTAAGAATGCCGTACTGGGAAATGCAGTAAAGCATTTTTTTTAAATGCAAGTTAGAAATAACCAGGGAAGTGAAGAAGAAGGGACTTAAGCCAAATTGCAAATGAGTTCTCCATTCAATACTAATGAGTTGAAATAAATAGCTTATTCAACTCCCTGCTGCTGTACGTTGTATTTATAATACACAAAATGTTCCTTAGACTTATTTATTTTTCTCCTCCTAAGTGTCCTGATTTTATTACTTCTAAAGTGTTACAGCAGCTGCTTTATATCCTTGTTAATATAAGTGCAGGTATACATTTTCAAGCTATTCTGTGAATCAGTCTCATTTTCTGAAATGTAGAAGAAAAAGAGCTGTATTTTTAATGTTGTTATTCTCAAATTGGAGTATCCTTTGAAATGCATGGAAAAAAATGTATGTTTGCCTCCATCTTTTGCATTAGACTCCCACAGTCACAGTGAATATTTATGAAGTTTATTTCCTTTGCTGCCTTGATCCTTCTTCTAGCATAAAAAGAGGACCAAAAATATACATTTGAAAATTATTGACCAGGGATGGATCTAGTTAATACTGCTGTTCTGATCTTTTTGGCTTGCAGTAGTCCCAAACAGACATTTTTATTTCTTTTCTTTCCTTTCGTTCTTTTTTTTTTTTTTTTTCTGGCTTAAGAAAACTTTTTGAGTGTTAATGATGAAAGAATATATATGTATGTATATGTATATATTAAAAAAAAAAAAAGATAGTACTAGAAAATATAAGTAAGAGTGCCAGTTCTCAGATGTAACGCTTTCCTGTGCATTAACTTCCCCATGATCATTGGAGGTCATTGACAACTTGGCTGCTTATAGCAGTTGTATTCTTTTAAGTTTAAATCTCCCTGTGTATGTTTGTTTGCAGTAAATGCATTTTCAGGCAACTTTCACACCAAGGTAACTTGTGAACTCAGGATAAAAAAAAAGTATTCATAAATACACTAAACAAAATTTGTTATTTTTTTTAAATTTTACTGTAGTAATAGAAACTTGTACAGTGCATTTTAAGCCTTGTGTTCTGGGTAACTGGTGAACCTGTTTATTTATATTTGTGAAAACTGTATTTCTGTATTCATGTATTATAAACAACCTGTCCATCCATAGTTGGTCTGTATCCTGTTTTACAAAGCATGGTTAGCATAGTCATCGTGAGGTTTGGTTTCATTACTCTTTCAGCAATTAGTGTCTTGTGCCAGACTTTTTACATGAGTTGGCTTCTGTTTCATCTTTACACTTACAGTAAACTACCAGTAATCTCACTCTGTGAATTTAATAGCATGCTAAGATCCTACTTACCAAACTACTGTTGTTTTCTACTAGCCACTTCAACTCTTCCACTTCTTCACAGTGTGGCTGTCTTCCTAAAAAAGGCAAGATACTTTTTGATATGTATTTGTTTCGATATTTACCTTAACAGCCAAGGGGAATTCCCATATTTAATGTGAAATTAGCTGACGTTTATTCTTAGTAGTATTTCTGCAGGGTGAGGATGGTCTTAATGTCAAAGAGCCATGAGACAGTGCAGGAATATTTTGCCTAAAAATCTTTTTGAATTTGTTGGATTTTTGAGAACAGATGTTTCTGTCTTTACTAGGGAATGAATTGAACCTTGTGTGCACAGTTTTCATCTTTTTGTATGTATCAAGATATGTAACTTGATTTTTTTTTTTAATTGAAAATTTTCATAAAAATTATTTAAGATATCTTAATTTGACCATCAAACACTGCAGCCATATCAGAAAACTAGGGCCATTTGATGCCGAATAGTTTTTAGTTGGTCCACCAGATCTTTTCTGGGATATGGTCCCTGAACTCCAGCATGATGTATTGGTGTTTCTTTCAGCTATTCCAGTGCCCCAGATATGCAGATTTATGTAATTCATTTTTATGCACATGTTTAGTTTTCCTTCTCCTCCTTTCTTCTTCTTCTTTTACATGTCCCATAAAAGGGGACATGTAATGTCCCATAAAAGGGACTTATGTTAACACATGTAGATTATAGTTTAGAATAAGAATAAAATGTGATATCTCAAGGATGATAGGGAAGTGATTGTTACAGTCCATCCATTTTATGTTGTGATATGTTATAATAATGAAGTCTAATACATTTTCTTACTGACAATATATGACTGAACGTTTTCTTGTATCTAGTTATGAAGCAAATACTGCAGTACAGTAGAGCACAACAGAAAAATTCTTCTGATGTAGGTGGAATGCTCTTGCAAGTGGACTCTAATCCTAATTCTGAAGGGGTTGGGGGGGGGGGGGAAGAAAAACAAAAAGCAAACAAAAAAAAGAATAGTCTTCAGATCATTAAAACTGATTAAATTATAATATTAAATAGGTAAACACATTTGGTATTAAAACAGGGAGAAGATCAAACTCTGGTTTTATATTGGAAAGGAAGAAATACCAAAACTATTCCCAACAGGAATGTGTGTTTCTGCTCACTTCCATGAAAACTGAAGAGATGTTTTGAAGCTCATGTACTTGGTCTCTTCTGTGAGGAAAGATGCATTAAAAAGAGTGTTTCTGCAATGGAAATAGATATCTCAACAGAAAAAGTGTATACTGATTCATCTCAGAGCGCAGTGTCCTGCAGAAGAGGCAGGGTTAAGTAGTTCCTGGGTACTGTGTCACTGCTTAGAGAATTCTACTGGAATAAAGAGCTATTTGTGTGCAGTTTTCAAAGGCCTTACCTAGTATGCGTTTCTAAGGATTCGCTGTGTATATTTTAAAGGGAATAATTATACCAAACTGGTTTAGGTCTAAAATGTTTTATCAGTGCAGAGAGGAGAAACAGGTTTCTGGTTATTCAGGCATTGATATTATAAATTAAGAAATCTGATTTTCAATTTGCCACTGACAGTGGCTTTCATTCACTTCATTGCTGGCGCTTTGCTGAGGTGAGTTTAGGACTGGGTGCTCTAAAAGCAGAGGAGGGAGAGATGTACCTGAGTGCTTGAGGATGGGTTGAGGCTGATTTCTGCGTTACAGCATGTGCTCATTCACCAAGGAAAGCAACTTTTTCTTGGTTTGTTACTTATCAAGTGCTTGGCTGTACTGTGAAAAGGTAACTTCTGGAAATGTGAAACTTTTATTCAGTAAGTATATTTCAGTGATTTTGTAGGTAGGCATTTTTGGAGGTCTTCTGAAAATTTGGGTTGCAAAACTGCGACGTGGGAAAATAAAATAATTAAACTTTTTGGTTTTGTAAGAAATTCTGTGTACAGCTTATGCCATCTTTATTTTTTTTAGATGAAAATGTTCATAAAATACAGTTATGACAGGTGCCTTTGGATGTTTATTTGCCAGCTAAAATAAAAATACATTTTCAGTCCTTGTCACATCCTTTAAAATATGCTAAAGGAACAGTGAAATATAAAGTAACAATTGAGAGCCAGTATTGCAATTTTTGCAATAAAATATTCAGATCTTACATGATTTTCTGTTATCCAATGCTAGAAATTAGCTTAAGATATATCATCACAATACACTAAAAATGAAAATGTCTCCCAAGTACTGTTTGTTAGTGGCCTGTATGAGAAAAAGAAAGCCAGCAGTCTCCTAATACTGCAGATATTTAGCTAGATGCTTAATTGTGTTCTCTGAATTGTCCCATTGAAGTAAGCAGAGTCACTTCATCTGTAAAATTAAGCATAAGACTCTGTAGCACAGAAACACTGGGGACTTCCCATTGATTTCAGTGCCCAGGGGAAAGTTAACAGACTGAAGAGATTTTAATTTAGAAAAGCATTTGAATGGGTAGCTGCAATTTTAAAGATGCAAGGGCTTATCCAGAGATCTTACCTCGCTGAACAGTGGAGGCCATGAGCTAAAATTTAGGTCTGTGAATGTTCTCTTCCTAGAATTTGTAGGCTTGTAAAGTGCCATGGAAATTGCAGGTTGTTAATCATCTGAAAGTATTTTTTTTCTCTGTTATTCTTTCTTTTTTAAAATATTGAAACACCGTGTCAGTCACAAAAAAATCAATCTTATCTATTTTCTCATTTCTGTTAAGTACGTATAAACTCTTCATCACAGAAACAATAAGCAGTTTACTTGTGGAAATTCTAAACTGAAACAAACAAAATCACAACGGCTAAATTTGCATATTTATAAATGTATGCTCTCTATTTTAATGTAAATCATCTTTTTCTTGTTTTTATAACTACAGGACTATACCTTGACAATGTACTTTCAGCAAGCGTGGAGAGATAAGAGGCTGTCATATAATGTAATACCTCTAAACCTTACTCTGGACAATAGAGTAGCTGATCAGCTATGGGTTCCTGATACCTATTTCCTGAATGACAAGAAGTCATTTGTACATGGTGTCACTGTGAAGAACAGAATGATCCGCTTGCATCCAGATGGGACGGTCTTGTATGGACTAAGGTCAGTGTGAACCATTTCTGACTCCTTATTTTTAGTCTTTTAATCATGGCTTCAAATTAATGCCTATTTTTTTGCCTTCTTTATTGCTATTCTTTGTACTGCTGTGTTCTGTAAAACTGCTGATATTCCAGAAACAATTTTAACTTAAGTATTTAAAGAATGGATGAAGATTTTTTTAAATAAAATTTGGAGATAAACTTCCATTTTTAGTATAGTTTCAAAATACTTGCTTTAAGAACAGATAAGACTATAAATACTATTGTAAATACATGTTCTGGATTAAAAGCTGTTTTTAGAACTGCATCCTCAAAGGAATTGAAATAACAATTATAAAGTGAGGATTGCTGGGGAAAAAGGAAAATGTGTATGTCTGAATTGGTTCTTTAATTAAACGATATATTTTATAAACAATGTTAATTAAACATTTAATTGGTTTGTGTGTAACTGTCATGAAAATCAGCTTTCTCATTTTTGCTGATAGAAGGTTTGACCTGAAGTGTCTTTGAGCCTAGTTTTGTGAGTGAATGGCTATATACTCATTAAATAAATTGTTAATGACTGCGGAAACAAAAGAACTTTTGAAGGTTTGAAAAATGGAATCTCTTTTGTAGCATTCATAGAAAAAAGAAAATAATTCCTTTGAGAGATTTATATATTCCTGCAAAAGATGACAGACTTAACGTGATGTAGTGCGTAACCAAAGCAGAAAATGTTGACTGGGTTAAAAACAAAACAAAACAAAAAAACCCTGCAGAACTTCAGTCTAGAAGGTCTGATATTTTCATGTTGAGGAAAAGATACAATATGAATTTGGGGGGACATGAATTCTAAACGCTTTCTTTACTACATTTATCTTATTTCTTGGGAGATTTTTCTACTCTGCCTGTAACTCAAGTCAAGGAAGAGGCGCTTTTATCTTGATTATTTTTTCCCAGATGTAAAGGAGAGCAGCACGCAGTCATATGTATTTATTTCTGTCACTTGTACAGTGAATTTGATCCTACATGAGGAAAGGAACCTGGGCTTCTTGATTCCCTTGTAAATTCCTTAAGTGAGTTGTCTGTAACTTTAACTAAACAAGGTATGGGCCAGATTCCATTTTCTTTACTCATGCAAATAGTTCAGTTGACAGTCCCAGGGAATTCACCACAGAACTGGTGCTGCTGTTACTTCTAATCTGTGGACTGAAGACCAGGACTCCCTTTGTGGCATGAAACAAACTGTACAATTCCTCTGCCTCAGTTGTTCCATTTATTAAATTCAAATAGTAAAACCTACCTTCTCACAAGGGTGTTGTGAAGAGTAATTAGTTTGTGAAGTGCTTTGATCTCATAAAACACGGTGTAAGTGCCAAGCATTATTATGAAGAATTATAAAATGCCAGCCTTGATAAGCACTTTGGGATGGTAGCTGTTTTATAGATACAAATCTGCTCCGCTGTCCTTAGAATCGCTGTTGCACTTTTCCTATGTGGTAACACATTGACAAAATGAGCCAATTTTGGGAAAGATGCAATTTTTGGAATAAAAAGGGAGACCGCTGACTGTCTTAAGGATCTTTCTTCTATGTAGGACTCAAAGATTGGAGATGCATTTTTCTTCAGAACACCTCCATCCACAGCAGGAGAGCGGGTAGTTGGATTTTAAATACCTCCCCTATCCGAAAGAAAACAAAGATATCTTTTACTTCGGTTCCTTTATTAGATCTTAAGTATAGGATAAGTATTCAAGAGGATCTTTTGCTTCTATTTTATATGAATAGCTGTTAAATCATTAGTATGTGAATAATTAATTCAATTAAGCTTAATAGGAAAAAGGCTTTAAGTCACAGGAATCTCTTCCACTAAAAGCCCTATTATCCAAGATTATTACATTGCAATCAAGTGAAAAAAAATCAGAGTTTTATTGCCTAACAGGCAAACTGTGGCATTTACTCTATTAGCAAGAAAATCTCTATCAGCTAAAGAACCGTGTAATAGTTTAAGTTGCTCCAAGGATATTGCATAGATGCATTCCAAAAACAAATAAGGGTCATCAAACACTTAATCTTAAATTGAAATTTAACTTCTAAAATAATTGAGAATTACAGCAACATAAATCTAACTGATTTTTCTTCTGTAACGTATTCTATCGAATTGTTTTTGCTGATACTTGAAGATTCCGAAAAAGGAAATTTTTATTTAGGAAAGATATTCATAAAATTTTATTGCAGAATGCTCTGATAGAGCCTCAGCTAATGAGATGGATGCTAAATGTGTACTTAGAGTTGCTATACATAGATTTAGATGTATGTTTATGTAATGTATACGTAGACTGTATGTGGGTATATATTATATAAATTTCCATTGGCATATTTTTAGAAGTCTAAAATCTGAATTTTGAGATGGATGTTGGGACTGGATCATAAAGCATTAAGAGTGAAGTTTTAAGGCCTTGCGTGTGGAAGGAAGATGAGTCTCTTGTTTAGAATTAGAAAAAACTTATTTCCCCTGTTTCTCTTTTCTTACACAGATTTGTTCTTGTGATTCTAAAGATAATTTTTCTTTTACATTTTGATCAACATTACAATAAAATTTTGGAAACTGCTTCTTAAATGAATGGATTTTTTATTTTTCTGAGAAGTGTTTTAAGAAGCTGCAAGTACTGGAGGTTCTCGTTCCAGTTATATGTCCAGGTTTTTTTTTATTTTTTCCAAAATGTTTTTCTTTGAAGAGAACAGCTCGTTTGTCTACCTGCTGTTTCAACTTGTTTTGTCACAGAGCTTTACAGAACAGTGAATATAGTTTTTGAGAAATCGTTTTCTAAACTCCTGAAATCTGGCTGTTATTTTTTAATTGAAAAGTCCAGGTGGTTTCTGTATCTCTTGGGACTGGATACATATTTTTAGATTCTTCCATAAATGTAAATTTCATTTGGCCCTCAATGTGCAGAGTACTTGGGAAGCTTTTCCTGGAACAATATGCAGTACTGCTTAGACATGGACAAATAGGATATTGCAAGACATTCTGCTCTTGTGATATTTCCAGATAAGTTCTCCAGATTCGAGGGATATGTGTAGACATTGAAGAAGAGTGTTTTTAAGCCATGCTTATCCTTGGTTGTTATGTTAACTGTTTAGGCTACAATGCAGGCATTTGCTGTAGCTGTTTAGTTTGCACACATTTCCTTCTGAGTAGGCATCCCTGGAATAGTCCCTGCTTCTATTAGCCTAGAACCATGTAATTTAAGGAGAGAGAAAACAAAAAAGTTTGGAAAAACATTGTTTTAAATTCACTTGATTGTGCCATCTGTACGAGCAGATGGGAAAAAATGTCTCAGGGCTGGAGGGAGACTACAAGATCAAATCACAAAGAACTTAGAAACAAGCATGCTCAGTGTCAGAACTGAAAGGACCTTAGCAGTTACTGCAGTGACCTGGCCTGCAGCCTGGCCCCTCGCGAATCGCTGTCTTTGTAGTGGGTGATGCTTCAAGGGGGGCATCATCTGTATCCTATAGATCCCCATGACTTGTAGTCTGCAAACACTCTCAGTTCTGAAACAGAAAAGAACAAATGTTCGTGTCCCTAAATTCTTCTCACATGTGAACTGTAAACCCAGATTTAGCACTTCATGGGGATGGTTTGCCAGAGCGTGTCATTCTCCCAGCTAATTTCTTAATTGGGTGATCGTTACGTTATAGACTATAGAATATACCAACAAGACAGTCTGCGTTGAGACTGCTTTTAAAAATCGGACACTTCAAAATATTTGTTCCAAATTTTGTCTTGAAAAGTGAAAAGTATTTAGAGGCATATGGCCTTTTAAAAGACTTAATGCAAAAAATCAACTACTTCTCTCAAAGGCTTCTGCAGGGTAACAACCACTGCTAGACTGTCAGTTGTACCGGTGAAGGTGTTGCATGACTGTGTGTTGCCTATTTAACGCATTTATTGAAAATGTGTTCAGAAGTTATTGAAAAATGTTACAGTGCTTTCTCTTCAGCATCAGAACAGAAAAACAACACAGGGTTGAATAGCTGCTGGGGAAGTGCTTTTGAGATATGTTTCATGTACATTACCCGAAACTGATGCAATATGGCTAGGACCAAAATGTTCTGGTTTGCAGTCTTCCCTCCCGTGGGCTTTCTTAGGACTCTTAAACTGTAAAAATCAGTAGCAAGCATTCTTGGTACAAGATCACAGGGAATTACAGCCGTTTGCCTTTTGGATTTTGGGGATTCAAATGTACTCTAATAAATGTAGTTAGTCTGTAAACCATTAGGGTCTGTTATGGTGTTTTATCTTTCTGAATAAAGAATTTAAGAAAGTAATTTACTGTTGCAAAGTAGTTTTTAATTGTTTTAAAATCTATTGCATTGAAGTGTATTGTAGATAGATATATAAGGGATGTTAGGACTGAGGTGATAAATGGTGGAGTCTTCTCTGACTCCTTACTCACTTTGACTTAGGACAAGATGATTTCCTTTTCATGGGTCAGAATGTTGATTAAGAACCACCGTGTGTTTTGGTGTGTGAGAGACACCATTACTTACAATATTTTATCTTCATTTTTTTTAAAATCACTTCTTATTTTTAAATTAATGTTAGCCATTTATCTTAACAAGCCGGGGTATCTGTTACTGCAAAGAAAGAAAGACTCCGAAGTTCTAAATGCTTCTGCTTATATGGGAAAGTAACATAATATTAATTTACCATGAGCATAAGGTTTATCACAATCTACTTTGTAGATTTTTTTTATCAAGATATTACAAATTTCAATGAAGAGAGCTTATAAACTGCCAACATTATGATGACTACAGAGTGTTTTATATAGTCAGCCGAGGATGTAAATAATTGATAGACCTTGCTGCTAAGCTCCCTTCTTTCAGGGATAGACTGTATTTTTCTTTCATTTCATCATCGTCTCTCATTATCTCTCTATCTACTCCATCTGGTTCTGTATGCAAAAAAACAGAGATGGCAATGAGTGCACAATCTGGGAAATAGGACCCAGGCAAGGAGG